CATGGCCTGGTAATTCTGACACTCTCTGGTGAGATTTAAATGAGCAATGATATTAATGTATATATAAACTCTGAAATCATCCCAAATTCATGAGTCTGATATTCCAGCTATAGATTAGAGCATTCTAGCCAGGTATGGTGGTACATGCCTGTAACCCCAGCACTTGGGAAGCTGAGACAGGAGGATTTCCATGAGTTTGAGGCCAGCTTGAGCTACATAGTAAGTTCAAGACCAGCCCGGACTACACAGCAAAACTCTGTCTTGGAAAACTCAAAAAAAAAAACAAGATTAAAGCATGCTATCTTCCCTCACAAAGGCATCCTTCCTTAGTTCTTTTCCTGCTGGATAAAAGGAAGAAGCTAAATAGTACACAAAAGCATCAATAATACAAGATATGAACAGAGTGTCTCCCTGGTTGCTAGCAATTTCCTACATAACAAAGTGATCAAGTTTTCCAAGGAACATGGTCATCAACAAAAAAGAAGTCCCAAAAAAATGAGAAATTTCTTGCTAAATTATGCTGCATTTTCACATACTTTTAAATCATTTGTAGTCATTGGACCCTTATCAATCCATGATCAAAGATTCACTGACCCAACAGCTTTAAAAGGACCCACTATGGGACTGGGGATTTAGCTTAGTGGCACCACGCCTGCCTTGCAAGTACAAGGCCCTGAGTTCAATCCCTGGACCAAAAAAACAAAACAAAATGAAACAACAAAAAAAAGACCCTCTATGGTAATTGTTAATGTCCTATGCAAGATTTCATTAAAAAGTAGTCTTCAGGAACCTTCATATCCCAGTTTTTACATTCCCAAAATACATCAACCACATATCCCTTCCCTGTATGGAAGCACAAAAGGCACACAAGTAAAAATGCCAGCCTAGTTCATAACCTTCATACCAAGCACATTTTTTAAAAAAGGAAGGGTGGGAGGAAGTGAGCTGAAATTACAGGCTGTCATGACACCTCAATATGGAAAACTGAATACCTGGTTCCACAGGAGAGTAAGATCTTATTCACCACCCTGTTACTAAGCAACGATAACAATGGCTGCATGAGCATTCTGGGAGCAGGGACAATCAAGGAAGAAAAAACCTAAAGAAAGAAAAGACAAGAAACTCCTTCTCTGGGAATCTTTATCTTAGGACAAATTCAGTATAAAAACAAAACCAAAAACAATTTAAATTTAAAACAAACAATTTCTCAAAGGACAAGAAAAGTATATACTACAATGATGTATCATTTGCTTTAATTACAGTTTTGGTTAATTTCAAAATTCACATACAACGGGTGATAATAATTTCCTTATTGTATATCCTCTGTGGTCTCCTTTCCTTCACCCACCCCAGGAAAAAAAAAAATTCGTTTCAAATTTCCTTACTGATTAAAAGAATATTTTAGAGCTCTTAAATCCATTTCTCTGTTTACAGAAGCTATAAAAACTAGTTTACAGTTGTTTCATGTTGCCTGGGCTTTGAACCGAGAACACACTAGGACATCAAATTGTTCCTTTGAAGAGAACAGTCTCTCAAGCAGAGCCAGACACTTTCCCAGTCCCTCCCTGGAGTTCAGACAACCAGGGGACTGCACAAGTCAAGTCTTTTTCAGAGTTAGACTATACAACAAAGTAGGCTCTAAACCAATCACAAACTGTGGGCTGGGTTCAGTTAGGAGGGGACTTTCACACATGCTTTCAGGGCATTTTACAGACAGGACCTGTCAAGGGCCCAGGAGAGGGTTACACAGCTGGAAGCTGACTTCACCCACTTCTCTGTTTTTCTTTGAAACTTTCTGCTGAAATGCTGAGAAACCTCCGTGAGCCACCTCCTCTGTCTATCCTGGAGAAGGCTTCTGCTCACAGTTGGCTTTCTCAGTCCCCACTCCATCTCCTTCTAGGTTCCAGAGGAATGTTAGGTTAGCAGATAGGCAAGATGGAAAAATGAAGTTTTAGAGTCATTTTTCTACATCAAAGAAAAGCAATAATGGCTCAGTTCCCAAGATGCCTCTAGATTCCGCTAAACCTCTATTTTAAAAACAGAAATCCACAGACAAGTAGAAATTTAAATAGTGGAAACTGAAAACTCAAAGTGACTCAGCCAACGTCATTTCTGCTTTTAGATCTCAAGGATAGAGATGGTTTTATTTCAAAAGATTCCCTGAGCAGTATCTGGAGGAGGTAGTTGTCTGGGGCTCCTGTTTTTAATTGGCTTGTGTTTCTTGAATTTGATTATCATTTTTGCTTTTATAAAAATACATAAACACTACAAAGTTTAGTCTTTATAACTGTTACAAACCTCAAGGCTCTGCTATTTGAAATAAAGCTAAAATTCTATTTTCCGACAATAATTCCCTCTACTGGCAACAACAAAGCTTGGCACTATGTGACACATTTTATTATCAAACTAATGTAAAAATTAAATTGGAAGCCAGGCACAGTGGTACCTGCTTGTAGTTCCAATAGTGAAGAGTAGAGATTAGAAGACGGCTTAAGCACAGGAATTTAAGGCCAACCTGCCCATTCAGTGAGACTTTATCCCCAAAAAACAAACAAAATGTTAAATTGGATAGCGTCAGGGTCTACTCTCAGTCTCCCTATGGCTAATGGTTAAGACTACATGAACTTTCTCGATAAGAAACTTTATTTAAAAAGTATCCTTCCATTGTTAAAATTCCTATATTTACTTACTGCAAAATTCAAGAAACTTTTCCTATATCTTGGCTGTATTTCTAAAAAATTGAAAACCAGTAATCGCCCTTATACATAAGATTATTCTTTGAAGTACTTGTCTATTCTTGTAAAAGATTACAAACAACAGGGAATCCATAATTATGACTCATATATATGATGGACTATGATACAACGAGAAGAAATTAGGAAGCTATATATTTTATGTAATGAGCTCAACATATATTTTTGAATGAAAAATGCAAAATAAAGGATACTTGTGTAGTACACTACTATTTGTTTTTGAATAGGAATGAATATATATATATATATAAAAATTTTCAGCTATAAATACATAGAATACCTTTAAAAAGACAAGTCCTAGGGCTGGGGATGTAGCTGAGTGGTGCTACAGCCTGCCACCTCACAAGTGCAAGGTCCTGAGTTTGCTTCCCAGTACCAAAAAAAAAATAAAAACACAAGGCCTGGTGATGGTTTTTGTTTGGAGACAGGGTCTTGCTATATAGTTCAGGCTGGCCTTGAACTTACTTTGTAGCCTAGACTGGCTTCAAACTTGTGGCAATCCTTCTGTCTGAGCCTCCTGAGTGTTGGGATTACAGGCATGCACCACCAGACACAGTAACCTAGTAACAGTTTTGCCATGGGCCAGGAATTTAGCTCAGTGGTTCCAGCACTTGCCTTGAAAGCACAATGGACCCAAGTTCAATCCCCGGTACCAAAAAAATAAAATAAGTAATAGTTTTGCCTCTATGGAGAAAACAGAGATGGTGTAGCACAGACTGTGCCTCATATAACTGACATGAATATACTGCCTATAAGGTTACTAACAATTATAAACAGATGGCATTCAATTCACTTTTGGGGGGGTACCAGAGATCAAACTCAGGACCTTTCACTTGCAAGGCAGGCAGCACAACCACTGAGCTAAATCCCTGGCCTGCGATTCACTATTACCAAAGCTAAAACTGTATAGTTTACATCGGTGATGATGCATTTATATTATGTGTGAATAATACCCCACTCCAACATAATTTCTTCAGATGATCCTCTACTCTGATCTAATTATCCTTTAAATACATAGAAGAGCGACACTGGCCTGGTCCGCTTCACTGCTGATACTCTTATATACATAGTACAACTATACAATGTAAGTAGACTCTATGTTTATAGGTTTTAAGGTGAAATTAAACTACTTAAGGGGAATAAATACTGTCACCTGCACCTGACAAATAAGAGATGGGCAGAATGTAGGTGGACTGCTTAAGTAAGGTCAACAATAAGTGAGAGAGATAAAATCTTAACTTTGAAAAGATCTTCATCAAAAATCGGCATGTGCCAGACATGGTGGCACACACCTATAATCCTGGCACTAGGGAAGCTGCGGCAAGAGGACTGCTATGAGAGTCTGAGCCCAGCCTGGGCTGCATAGTGAGTCTAAGACCAGCCTAAACTACATAGTGAGAACCTTCTCAAAAAAAAACAAAACAAACAAACAAAAATCACTTTAATAGGCACACATATGATCCTTCTAAAAGTATCGTGTGTGTGTGTTTGTGTGTGTGTGTGTGTGTGCATGTGTTTAGAAAGAAAGTAAATTTTTAGCTATGATCAAATACTCTTATTTAGAAATATCTGGCTATCTACTAAACATCAAAGAGTATGGCAGATACCAAAATGCAGGTTAAAATATAGTTCAGCTGAGAAGAGGGATGCACTGGGCAGGAAAGCAGGTGTCTGAGGGGACCCAAGGACAGCTAAAGTAAAGTGGCAGGCACTCAATGCAGAGGTGGGAGAGTGACAGTCCCCTGTGTCCAAGCAGAGCACTCAGGGCAGGAAACACAGCTTGAACAGGAGAACAGAGCTGGTGTGAGAACAAACCATGTTACAGGTTTGGACTCATTAACTATAAGCAATATTAAAAGGAAAGCCAAGATTCCAAAAATTTGCAAAGAGATGCTCGGAGGGGACAGAACAGGATTTATGAAGAAAGGCCCAGAAAGGCATCTTCCACAGACTGACAATTATAATGGTTCTCCTTTGCCACTGAAGGCAGAAAAGAAGTTAAGCATTTAGGTCTATGATAGTACAAAACTAGGGAGTAGAAACACTGGGAGAACAAGTTCACCCACAGAGAAAGAAGTGGAAAAGGAGGCTGGGTGAGGGCTGGGGAAACAGGGAGAAGTCCAGAAGCCTTAATGATCTAAAGCAGGCAAAATGAGAGCATGCAGGACCATTCTTTAAGGAAGGGGGATAAACGCTGAATCTTAACAAGGAATTAGTGAATTTGATCAAACATGGAGGAAAGAGTACCTGGTCGATGGAATCAGGTTGAGTATCCCATTGAGAACATAGCTGAACTCTGCGTGATCCTGAGCAACAAGTGCCACCAAAGCCTCGCAGCAGGCTGTTCGAACCACTACATTGTCACTGCAACACTCCTCCCACAGCAAGTCCAAAGCAGGAGTCTGCAATCAGACCAGTGATTAAAGGACATTTCTGATGAGTGGCAAACACACTCAAAACACAGCCATTCATCAGTCTTTTAATCTATTCACAGTGAGACAGCTAGCCCTCCTTACAACAGGATCCCACGGGCACTCTGTTTCTAGAATGAATAAATGAAAGCCAAATTTCCAAGAGGAGATGACTGTGTGCTGATACAGTAACCCTCTCACCTGGTGTTCAGGCTGGCTGTAGGCAGGAGCATAACCCAAGTTCAAGCAACACAGCATTCCACAGGCAGAGGCTTTAACCGAGCAATTTAACCCAACACCAACAATACCTGTCTGTAGCTTAGTCTACAATGAACTCTCAATATTATCTATGCTTCATGCCACAAATGGCAATCATATTTTCAGAAAATGTTCTTGTTCTATCAGCAACCTACTTACCTGATGCACCTCACCACCACCCACCATGCTCTGGCAAATTTGGTCAAGTCTAATGCAGGCAGGGTGCCAGTGATCTGCTCCACAGCAACCAGCAAAAAGCCTAGAAGAACTGTTTTGCCCAAGAAAGACACTGTGACTTTTTCCCCCACATTGTGAATCTGTCTTCTTTGGTAGAAAAACACCAAAAGGGCACTTAGGCAAATTTAAATTTTTATTTTTTAAAAAGTCTACAAAAGCAGGGAAGCTAGCTTTTATAATTTCATCAGGAACTCATGATCCCCCAAAAGGCTTCACTGATAACAACAAACCTATATTTGAATGTACTGTGAGTGAAGTCCATTTAGATTTACACATGGATTTATCTAAAAAAACAAAAATAACTCAAAATTAAGCTATTTTTTCCATCCTCTGGACACAATTTATTAGGGCAATACATAACTGGGGAGAGATGAAGATGCCCAGTTTCCCAAAAGTATGAAAACCAACAAGATATTATTCCCACTTTCCCTCTGTAGCTGGCTCTTTTCTGTCTTAGGCACTGGACATAAAAAGAACAAAACAGATAATGTGTAATCACACTACAGGAAAATATTTATATGTTCTCTTTCTATTCAGCAGTAAATTGTATTCACTTGTATAGACAGTATCAAATGGCTCTAAATGTCACTACTCCATTACTAACCCAGAAAAACTAGACAGACATGCAGGCAGGCAGATAGATGGGCAGACAAACTGTTGCCTGAGGGAATCCTGTGTCCTCATGGAAGTAAGCATTCGTTTATTAATGGAAGAGAAAACATTTAGTTACAAGTATTTGACATTCAATAAATCCCAGCAGTTTAACTAAAACCACTAGATCTTCTCAAAGTATATAATGTGATTATCAGCAGGATTAGGATCAAGGTTCTGAGAAAACCTAATTTATGCAACTACATACAGGTACTACATCAATGCCAATCAGTGAAGCGTGGCCCTACACTCACTTCCACGTGTCAGCAGAATCTAGGAAGAAATACGACCTAGAGCGTCTAATCCAAAAGAATGTGAGAAAAAGAAAATACACTTATTTCTGTTATGGGGGAAAAAAACGGAAAGCTTATTTCCATTGCTCATGTGGCTCAGTACATTGCACCCACAGCACCTCTCCTAAACAGTTTCTAAACCAGCACGTCCAAAGAGAGAATGCTGATGGAGCTGATGTCTCAGTGTCCCAGGCATTACTTCAGCACTGGACATTCGCCCACCCTGTGTGCAGGATGGAAGTTTTCCTCCCCATCTCAATGTCAATGCATGACCCATGTGACTTATAACTTACATTTGGGGCTGACCTGAAGAAGCATGAGAATATAACTACTATGTTCATTTTCTTTGAAAACCAAAAATATTCCTCAAAGGTACTTCCATCAACTTTCTCTAAACCATTCCTTTCCACATATGACTCGTTATTTTTCACTAGTAGTCATAAAAATACTCTCCTTCACTCCTCCCATGTCTCATTCCTGGAGTGTGTTAAATGTTAAAAGAATGTTGTAGGGCTGGAGTTGCAGGTAGAGTGCTTGTCAAGCCTGCATGAGGCCTAGAGTTCCACCCCCAGCAAAAACTAAAAACTGCAAATCAGAAAAGGGGGCGGGGAGAGGGAAAAGAAGAGGGAAAGGAGGGGGGGGTGGATAGAGAAAATAAATGAAAAAAAAAAAAGCAATAAAGTTCTCTGACTACAAAATCATTTCTACGGTGACCCAAACAATGAAAGAAACAAGACAACTGCATCTGTGATCCAGCTGGAGCAATATCCGAATAGAATTCAAGCGGAGAACTAAACACAGACCTGGTTTGTGGATTGGTGGATCTTTTCTGAAAAACTATTTTCCTTTAGGACTGCAGCAATAAGATGACCCACAGCCTGAAAAACAAAATTAATGAGCACATTCTTTCCACATAGTGCATGTGCATCAGTATTACGTAACATGAGTAGGAATAGGTCAAGTAGTCAGTTTAGAATAAATAAATTTCTTATTCATAAGTGGCACTCTGCAGAAGGTGCTGAATTAGGCACTCCACTTATGTAACTTTTAATCTTCAGTACATCTCTTCAGATAAGCATTATTAACCCACATTATCAGTAAGCAAACTATAGCTCTTCGACGTTAAGAAAATTGCTAGGTTTTCAGTTCAAATTGCTATCACTTAGTATTAGAAGATGATTTGAGACTGCTTAATCTAGTAAACCATGAAACAAAAGAGAAAACGCAGGTGTTAATATCATCTTCCTAACAAAACGAAATATATCACATTTCAATACGCCTTTAATAAAGATGGAGAAAAAAGTTCATCCCCATTTTAGGGCTGTGAGCTGATCCAATAGATCTCTTCTCCAGTAGTGCCATTCTCCCTTCATTAGACCCTATCATTTTAATTTACTGTCATTTTCTGAGATGTTAGCCCTTCTATAAGCTCGCAATATCCTAAGCCTCTAAATTTTCCTATACTTCCCATACTAAATCAAAGAGCCCAAAACTCTTACAGGAGTATTGATTACATATACTATTACCACCTCTGCTTCATACTCATAAGTCTGCAGCACAACCCTGCTCTGTGTCTGAGAGCCAACAGGGTGGTAAATAAATTACTCTGTGCATAGTTGGGGAAAACATCAATGCATCAACTGTCCATGCTGCATTGGTGGTCATGTGTGATAGAGATGAAAATAACTGTCAGTCTTGCAGTCTTCAGAGAAGCTCAAATAAAAACCCAGCGCACAAGCTGGGTGTGGCGACACACACTGTAATCTGAGCACTCGGGAGGCTGAGGCAGGAGGATCGCCATGAGTTCGAGGAGGCCAGCCTGGGCTACATAGTGAGTTCAAGTCCAGCCTGGGCTACATAGTGAGATCCTGTCTCAAAAAAAAATAAAAAGCAAAACAAAAAGAAGCAGTGCCCACTCTTTCTGAGTGTGTGCACACGTGCAATGGACCTTGGAAATGATTTAAGACATCAATGCTTGAAGCTCTCAGTTTTATAAAACAAGTCACTCACTTACATAAACACTAACTTGAGTTCAACTTACTCTCTTATCTTCTAACAAAAGGATAAGTAAAAGAACTGAGGACCAGTGAATAGTTTTGAGTTCTTGCCTTTCAAAATATATCATATTTCACTGATATTTTATATTTCATTGATATCACTTTATTGATATCTGACATACAATTTTTTTTATCATTTGAAATTCTAATGTCATAAAGGAAAGAGCTGTTTTAGAGACATTAGGAAAGCATGACCAAGTTCTTCAGTGTGCAGGTAGGACCAACTGTACTTCAATTATTGTCATCAATTACTACATGCAATTCAACTACAGAGGCTAAAATGTAAAAAAAAAAAAAGGTGTGTGAATCAATGAACTACGAAGGCCGGAGATTTAGCTCAGTGGTTCAGCCACCTGCCTTGCAAGTGCAAGGACCTCATTTCGATCCCAGGTATCAAAAAAAAAAAATCAATGAACTATAAACTATAGTGGTAAAACTAAGCAGTGATTACAAAAGAACATTAAACAGTACATGATTCACAGAGAACAGGGGGCAATCACAAAAGACTAATAAAACAAATATAAAAACAGGAGAAACCCCCCGAAAAGCTATGCTTCATATATACAAAAAAGACTAAATGAAAATGAATTTAATGTTATCCCTCTACTTCCCATGAGGTTCACTGTCTATTTAATTTTCAATTAATCTTCAAATAAATTAGAGATATTAGTCTGAATTGATCTGAAAATACAAAACAAGGATAAATCAGCCTACACTGCTACTTAAATTTTCTATAACAGAATTTAAAGACATTCTCCATCTAACAGAACATACACACTCTTCATTTAGTTAAAGTAATACATATAGTTAGTCTTGATTGTCTATGATATGCCAAAGAGGGACTGCAGGCACGGAAGAGTAAAAACTGTGGAGTGACCTCTAAGCCTTCCTCTTGTTCTTCACAGTAGGACCTGTGCTGCAGAGAGGAGGCCACAAGTCCACCCCAGCCAGGCAAAAGGGAATCTTGCATAAGGAGTGTCCTATTCCTCATGGAAAGGTTCCCCCACTGCCCAGCTAAGTCCATTCCAACAGCAGGCATCTTCTGAAGCAAACTGTTCCAAGTATCCAAAATGCTGTTCACTGTTTAGTCTTTACCTGGCCTCTGCCGGCTTTTTAGCTCTACTCTCGCAGGAAAAGTTAATAAAGCATCATGACACCTTGATTAACCAGAACACAGCTAACTAGACAATGGCCAATCAGAAAAGCTTCTCTCTCTCTCTCTCTCTCTCTCTCTCTCTCCTTTTTGCAGTACTGCAAAGCAAATTTAGCGCCTTGTGCTTGCGAGGCAAGCGCATTGCCACTGAGCTACGTCCCAGAAAACCCTACTTATCTTATTGAAATTCTCTCTAAAACAACTGCCAAAATTTCCTATTTCATAGATCAAATTCTTTAATCTAGGATACTTTGATTATTAAATATCATTATTATAAAAATCTATTATTCTTGAATTGTACAACAATAAAATATATCTCTTTAAATACTAATCACTCATATTCTGTGGATGTATAACCATCTACCTCTATTCCTAATAATTAATTATAGGGAAAAAAAACATTCAGGAGCCTGCTAATTATTCAAGGTTTTAGTATCGCTACAAGTATGATAATAAACAGAACTTAGATTGGTCAATTTCAAGTATTTGCCTTCCTACTTCAAATATATTTTTTCAAATTAACTATTATGAAAATTGTTTAGCAAAATACACCTCTATAGAAGCATGCAGAAGAATAAAAATTCATTTGTTGCCATGAAGTATAAATAAATAAATGAAATTACCTGTGACTGGATAAGACAATTTGGAAAATCAAACCTTTTCTTGATATCATCTGACATTTTTGCTTCTCTTACATGTAGGTATGCAGCTTCTGTAACCAAAACAAAAGAATAATGTTAGTGCTACATCTAGTTTGAATTGGGAGTTCAAACCGATTATTCCTCAAATAATATGAATGTAATTTGTCCCAAAGATTACAATGGAAATAAGGGATAGGGGTCTGTGGCATAATCCTTGGCATAATTTTCACTGTTAACCACTTCAGAATTCAAATGTCATGCAATCAACTAAAAAATATCCAACAGTTTTTGGTTTTTCCCATGAGTCAATCCTGAAACAGTTTAATTCACACCAGATTATTTTTAAAGATATCCAAAAATTCAACAACACATTTCAACTAAAAATTTCCTTTGATGGATCACAACTTATAAGGTAAAGTCAAACTATCATGGAGCTGTGCCTTATTTTTGTACAAAATATCATTTAAGCACTAACCCAGCTGCTAATGACAAGTGTGACATCTAGGTGAACTTTTTTCAGGAAGTGCAGAAATGACCTTTCACTCACACATCAAATAGAGTGCTTAGTGGGCCAGGGATTTCGTTCAGTGGTGCCACTGCTTGCCTCGCAAGTGCAAGGTCCTGAATTCGATCCCCAGTACCACCACCAAAAAAAGTAAAAGAGTGCTTGCCTCACCCCACAAAAAAACAAGTAGCACCAATTTTTAATATTTACATCACACCTCCCATTCAGGGTCCCAAAACACTCTCTCTCTCTCTCTCTCTCTCTCTCTCTCTCTCACACACACACACACACACACACACACACACAAAGGCAGTGAAGGAAATCAGATGATGAAGTGAAGTCATGGAACCTAGTTTCTTCAATATCCATGCAGCTCTGAATAGGCCAAATTACACTACTTTGAAAAACAGGTACTGCAGATCACCTATTTTTAAAAATATAATTAAAAAATAAAATTTATGTCAATACAATATACTAGGCATTATGGTTAGGCTGTGGTTGAATGAATCCTGGAGGGTTCATGTGTTGAAATTTAATCACGACTGTAAGCTATTCAGTGAGTGGAAACTCAATTGAAATACAGGTAGGGTCTTGGGCAGGTGGTTAGGATTAGATAAGGTCATCAGAACAAAACTCTCACAACTGAGTATCAGGAGCTCTATAAGAAGGAAAAAGGCCCAAAGACACTCTCTAGCTCTCTCGCTCTCGCTCTCGCCATATAATGAATGCCCTGTGCTACCTTAGAACTCTGCTAGCAAGACCATCATCAGATGCAGGCCCTTGAACTTCCAGAACTGTGAGCTAAATAAACCTTTCTATAGTTACTCAGTCTTCATTGATGTTAATACAAACTGAATAATATTCTAGGTTACCTTACAAAAGAACAAAAGACAAAACCAAGCTCCCTTGATCTCAAAACCAAAGTACTTTGTGCTGAACCTTCAGCATCTTTCCTTAACTACTTTTCTCCCTTTCATCTAAAGCTAAACCCCCTAATGAGCAATTTACCCTGGCTTTTTTCAAGATCTAAATCCACCTTTACTTCCTTCAATTTAACATGGGAGAGCATTGAAACAGCTTGTTTTAAGATCACAAACCCTATCCATGCCTACTCAGTAACTTAACCGAGTCAGTATTTCTTCAACTTGCCAATTGTGCTGATCACAATTTTCTTGGAATTCCATAATACACCATAACAGAATTTCCCAAAGTATCTCCTTGGGAAACCCAGGAAAAAGAGATTTTGTGGAAGAGGAGTGGTAGGAGGATTCTATGAAGACATATATTCATATCTTAGTGTCTTATATTCATTCAACAAACACGTATTAGATATCTCTTCTGTACATAGACACTGTTCTAGACACTTGGGACTACATCAGTAAATAAAGTAGACAAAAATCTCTGCTCTCATGAAGGTTTTGGTCTAGTGGGGAGATACACTAAATTAATAATACTATATATAAAATGTAATATATTAGATGGTAATAAGTGCTTAGGAAAAAAGCAATCGGAAAAAAGATAACAAGTGGGAAAGAACATACTTTCTACTTTAAAATAGCTAAGTCAGGATCATTCTTCTCTAGACAGTTTGGCATTTGGACAAAGATAAAAGGAGGAAAGGAAGTGAGTTAGCCTAAGTAATATCAGAGATATCTGGGGGAAGTGGGTCACAAGAATAGGAAAAGGGAGCACAAAAGCCTTAAGCTAAGAAAATGCTTCAGATATATTTTAGGAAGAATAAGGAAGTAAAAGTAACCACAGAGCACTATGAAGAAGGGTGGTAAAGCAGGCCAGAGAGATCATGAGAAGTCAGACCACAAAAGGTCTGTAGGCCACTGGAAGGGCTGGTGCATTTCCCTGAGGGATATGGGAAGCTACTGAAGAAAGAAGGGATAAAATTTAATAGAATCAGGGCCTGGGATTTAGCTCAGTGGTTCCGCCACTTGCTTCGTAAGTGTAAGGGCCCGAGTTTGACCCCCGGTACAAAAAAAAATTTTTCATAGAATCAGTTGAGGCAAGAAGTGTCAGATTCTGGCTGCCTCAAGAGAGAGAACATGCGTTCCATGACAGTATAGAAGAAAGGACTCAAGGATGACTCCCAAGGTTTTAATCTGACCAATTTTATTATTAATCTCAATTCTTTTGAGCGTTTTATATATTACTTCCTACACAACATAGGCATTTTTTTACTACAATGGAAGAATGCATTTGCTGTCAATGGAGATGAAGAAACAAGTTTTGTGGGAAAGACTAGAAATTCCATTTTGGGTAGTTCAGTTTTAGGTATCAGGTAGAAAGTTCTCTAGGAAGCAAGAAACACTGTTCTACTAACTCCTCCTTTTCACGGGTCACTCTGCTTCCCAAGTTCCAGCTCCCATCCTGAAGGCACCCAGCCTTTGTCTGGTACTGTCATCCCTTTGTAATCATTGTCCCACTGCCACCAGCCTCCATCTAGTTCAGATGTCTAAACACTTCCATACTTTCTCGCCTGGGGTTCTAAACCACCAGACTGGGGATGTCAGACACAAAACATATTCCCTCTTTAAAATTCTTCCCAATGAGCTTCTTACTTTCTGGGTTTTCTTCTTACGATTTCCTTCACTGCCATTCTCTCAATCCAGTCAGTCAATGTCAGCTGCTTTCTTTCTCAGCGTTGGCATCACTTTTCCTTTCTGCTCGGGACCTGTCATCTTCATTCTTACGCCAGGTCATTCCAGCAGCTGTTTAGTCCTGGGGCTCTCCATGCTTGATCTCCTCCATAATGGCTGTCAGAATAACTGTCCTGAAATACTATTTCCACCATATCATTTCCTGAAGAATTCATAGTGGGTTTTCAATTGCCTGTTAGACGCAAATCCCAATGCCTAGCTTTAAGCCCTCCATCAACAGCTACCCATTCAACTTCACTTTCATCCCTGTAATTCCAATCTAGCTAAAATAGTTTTCAAAATGGCCCCACAAGCTCAAAATCTGCTCATTCATAAGGAATTATATTTGTACATTTCTCTCCCATGTAGAATGTCCTTCCCTATTTGTTTCCACTATTTAAAGACTATATTCCTTTTATACTACATCTTTGGTTAGTTAGGCTCTGCAAAATAGCCACATTTAATGGCAATGACTTTGTGTCACTATCACTGACTTATACTATCATATGACTACCGCTTGAGGATTGGAAACCATTTTCTGTAAAAGGCCAGACAACTACTACTTGAATATGCCATTGCAGCACAAAAGCAATTGTAGATGACACACAAATTACCATACTGCTTCCTCTGAGTTTACATAATGCTTATTTTTAATTTAATTTGTGAAGTTTCTTGACAGTCGCTACAATCAATGTTCAAATTTGGCTGTACTTCTAGGAAGCCAGGGTAAATATATAAAAAAATAATTTATTTTTTCTTTTTTCTTTTTTGGTACCAGGGATTGAACTCAGGACCCTACACTTGTCTCTTTTATTATTTTATAGAAAACTATGCTTTATCAAAGAAAACAAATGTTTTCATTATTTTCTAATCAGAAAGAAATTTGTCACAATGGGATTTGTATGAGGCATAAAGAATGATACAATAGGCAATATTCTCAATAAAATAAGCAAAAAGAAATCTTTAGTTACTTCTTTTTTAAACAAACACTAGTCAAAGCCATGAATAAAATGTAATTCAGGTAATATGGTCCAGATAAAGTATTCTTATAACCTACTAAGACTGAAGAGAAGACACACTTTACAGTATCAAAGAGAAGCCCTTGGTTATAGATGTATCAAAAATAACTTACTCAGGCCAGGGATTTAGCTCAGTGGTGCTGCCTGCCTCGCTAGTGCAAGGTCCTGAGTTCGATCCCCAGTACCACAAAAAAAAAAAAAAAATTTACTCAAATGTCAACAGCGATAGAACTATAGAGGAAAATTCGGGGCTGCACTGTCTGATTTCCTATATGGCTTTAGTCTAGATGAGCCGTTAGTTAGGCTAATAGCTTTATTTTAGCAGAGAAGTTGAGCCATCCAAAAAGATGACCTTGTCCTCAGGAGGTGGGCCACTGTGGTTAAAGAGCGCTGTTTTTGTCAAAATCACCAAAGTATAAACATCAACTACCTAAGCTAACAAAAGATAGCCTTAATATCAGGGACACATGGTAGAGAATACATTTTAAAAATTCTTCCTACAAATGGCCAGTAAGCATTCTCAATACTACTTGCAAAGCTGCAATAGGATTTTATATCATCCTTGATTTGCTATCCTTGGGCTACAAATTCAAGTGTCGTTCATCGACTGGAGTCATATTTCAAGGTTAATCACAACCATTTGGCCTTTCAACATACAAAATACCTTATATTCTCTTGTAGAACTTTTTAAAAAGAGTACACATGCTTGCTTGCTTTAACACTGGCAATGTAGATTGTGTCCTATTTTATTTTTAATCCCAACTTTCTTTTGGCATTTTACACATTAAAGGACAACAATTTATATGTTACTTTTTATCACACCATTCTTACTAAAAGTAAACTGTTCAAAGTATGATCCATAGGGCCGGGCGTGGTGGCTCATGCCTGTAATCCCAGCA